ACCCTATTTGAAGGTTGAGCAGTGTCGACCCGATCAAAGGTCAAGTCAAATTGGCCTAGCTAAAGATTGAATTGAGTTGACTTAGGTGAAAGGTTAGCCTAAGTCGATTTGGCCTAAAAATCGAGTCAAGTCGACCCAAACTGAAGGTTAAACTGAGTCGATTAAGGTAAGAGGTTGATTTAAGTCGATTTTGGTCAAAGGTCGACTCAATTCGACCAAGTCAAAGCATTAAGTTGAGTCTACTTAGGTCAAAAGTCAACTCAAGTTGGTCAGTTCAAAGAATCAAATAAAGTCGGGTCAACCCAAAGGTCAAGGCAAGTCGATCATATCGAAGGTCAATCTGAGTCGACCTGGGTAGAAGTTAACTTGAGTCATCTTAGGTGAAAGTTGACATAAGTCGACCCTAACTGAAGATTAACTTGAGTCAAATGAACTAAAGAATCAAGTTGAGATAGTCTGGATTGAAGGTTGAACTAAGTTGACTCGGTTGAGCTGGTTAGTATTGAAGTTCAACTCAAATTAGTTTGACCAAAGGTGTAATGTTTGATCGAGATATTAACATTACCTTTTTCTTTTTTTATTGTTGTTATTTTAAAAATATATATTAAAAGAGTTAAATCAATTTCACTTTGTGATTACTTGATTTGAATTTAAAGTCTTGAGAACTAAATTAGGTGATGAGGTGAATTTTATCAGTGACTTTTTTTATTTGAGATAGATGTTGTGATAGACAATTTATCTTCTAATAAAAATGACTAGCAATCAGGGAAGAACTTAAGACAAAAATATTTTTATGATGAATTCAACACATTGCAATTAATGTTATTGTTCATATTAAAACTTTTGTAATAAGTCATTTATTGTTGCGTACTAGACTTAATTTAGAGAGAAGTATGCATTGAAAAAGTTTTATTTCAGTTAGATTTGTCAAAAAGTGTATGGAATAATCTATTATATGAAATAATCAATTACCACTTATAAATCAATTATTAGTGATAGTTGTGAAATGACTCTTTGATTTTCTAATCTAATTTTCAAATATTGGACCTATATATATTTTGTCTCCACAAATTTCGAACAATTTATTTTCATTCAGAGAAGTTTAGTGTTGTTGCAAATAAACTCTCTATGCTTTAGAAAAGTAGCTTGTAAAACATAGTATTGGTAAAAATGAGTGCTTTCATTGTGTCTAAGTGATTGTGTCATCTCTTGTGACTAGAAAAAATTGTTTATCTTTTGTGTGTCAAAGGAAGTGTTATTAATCTCTTTCGTTGTCAAGAGATGTGTTTTCTAACTTTTACCCTTTGTTGTTGTAAGTTCTTGTTATTTTTAGTAATTAGTTAATCTCTCTTAGAAATATCAAGAGCTAAACGTAGAGTCTTTTGATCTAAATCAGTATAAAACTACATGTTTAACTTTTTCTTTCCCTATAGTCTTTATCTTTATTGTTTTTTGTTTAAAATAATCTATTTTTATCATAAAATCATTTTATAAAAAGAAAACATTTTTAAAAGATGTTGTTTTTATTAAGTAAGATAATTTGTTACTTAACTTTATCTTGACATGAACATTCTACTGCAAAATTATAAGAGAAACTATAAATAGTGAGAGGAAATTTGAAAGTTGAACAAGGAAACACTTTTTACTAAAATTTATCTTTGCTTTGAAAATTCAATGTATTATATTTCTTTGTCTTTCTATCTTCAACTTTATTAACTACTTCACACAAGAAGATATCAATAGTTATTCCAGGATTTATTTTCTACATAAACAAAGTTTTTAGTTATTTTAATTTTGTAATTGAAGTTCTGAAAATGCAAGTACATCTTATAAGCATGAAGATCAAGAGTAAGAACATCAATCTTCATTTGTTTTGTTTTTGTTGTTATGAAAATGCAAGTGCATATTTCAAGTACACTTATTAACATCATACATAGTGATCAATCTCAACTTTTTTGTATCTTTTATTTATTTTAAGTAGTCCTTTGTTTTTATTTGGAATTTAATGAGCTTTTATTTTAGGTTTTCCTTTTAGAATTTAGTTATTAATAGTTCACAAAAATTGCTCTTAAAATGCAAAACAAATCTTATTAGATATCAACGCCATGAGTAACAATAACAATCTTCAAAGAAGGAATATCATTTTCTTTTTGTTGTTATTCTTAATTAATTACAATTTAAAATGAAACTGGCATGTATACTTATTTATAAATAACACTTATAATTTCATTTAAGATGAATATGTTTTGGTTGTTCTACAAAACAATTTCATTTTTAAAGTGTGTATGGTTTTGGGTCATCAAAATTTTATTATTTACAAAAAAGTGATAAGGATCACACTAAATAAAAAAGATTTCATAAATAACCGTGTTTTTAACAATTTCCTGTTATATTATTGAGAATCCCAGTGGGGAATAATTGTTGTTTATAATAAAATATAATTATATTTATTATTAATTTAAAAATAAATACAACAAAAATCAGTATACTAAAACTACGTTTATCCATGCTTAACTAGAAATAATGTAATATCATTATATTTGTTTTAATTATGATTTCTCAAAACAAAAGGACAATCTTAATAATTTCAGTATTTAAATTAAGAAAACAAATTGAACTGAATATTTGTAATAAAAGTAAGAAAAATATTTATATTTAATTCATTCAAATGTTTTATTAAAAAGATGGATTTTTTGCTAAAGACTAAAATAGTCATTCTATGTTTTATATTTTAATTATATATTTAACGAAAATGGTCTAAAAGGGAATTTTTGTGAAAAAAGAATTATACCAAATTGTCTTTAATATTTGTTATCAATTTTTAAATTAATTTTTATATATAATCAACAAAATTATTATATCATTTGTAATATTTATTAATTAATTAATATGAAAAAAATAATGTTTTCAAATCATATAAAAATATTACTTTTTATAGTTTAGAAAAAATTGTCATTTAATCAGTAGAGATACAGATTTTTATAGTTTAGAAAAAAATGTCATTTAAAATATTTTATTGCTATAATAGTTTTAGTTGAAATAATTTTTTATAAGCATTTTTACAGTATATACGGATGTATGACAGTTCATAAAAAATTAGTGTCAAAATTTCGCCTAACTTTATTTTATTGAAGTTTATTATATAATTAAAATTATAAATTTTTACTAATTATATTGGATGAATTATATATATATATATATATATATGAACAAATATATTTATTTAACACATAAATATATACTTTTTATCACAATACTTTTAATTCTAATTTTTTTACTTATATAAATGGTTAAGTGTTATTTTAGGAATATATGAGTAAATTTTATGAAATTATAAAGTGAAATTTAAAATATAAATTATAAAAAATGATATTACCTACCATGCACCTTATTTTAATAAAATCTAGTAAAATGATTATATTTAACTCACTTAAAAGAATAATCTACTAATTAAAATATATTTTAACCCATTAATATATTTTAAATTTCATTTCAAAATAAATTGAAGTTAACATTAACACCATTATCTTCTAAAATTAGTTTATAAAATTATTATTTTTAAAATGAATTATATATTTTTTTATTGATTATTATAAATAATTTAAGGTTTTATTTGAGAAAGACGAGTTATATATATATATATATTAAAAATAAAATTATCTATTAAATACATTACAGTCTTAAAAGAATACATAGAAAAATCTCTAATAATTATATAGATTTAATTTATTAAATAAAACATTTTAAATATACGAGTTTTACAAGAGGACATAGGAAATTACACTAAGAGGACTTTCTATTAAAAAATTCTGTTAGAAAAAAAAACCATTGAATGCATACTTTATAAATTTAATTATATATTAGAAATTATCTATATAAAAAATGATAATAGAAAATAATAAGAGAATTTTTTAATCAAATATACATATACCATTTATAATATTTTTTAACATTTATTAAAATTAGTTTGTAACTATGATCATATATATATATTAATATTTAATTTATAATATTTCTTAACTTTGAGTGTTTAGAAAAAATAATTTTTCATATAATAATTTGTGGATGAATATTTTTACTGAAACCTTTGCGTTAAATCTTCAGTAATTTGTTTTTGTATATTTCATGTTTTTAATTATATATTTGAAAAAACAGTCGAGGTAAGAAAATGCTTAGAAAAAAAGTGAAAAAATATTCCAAAAAATTATTTAAGATTAGACATAAATATAATATTTATAATATCTATTAAAAATTATTAATACTAGTTTTTTATTATATATGTAGACTGGTTTTAAAATAACAAAAAAATCATTATATCCTAAAAGAATGAAACAAATTTATAATGATAAAGTTATTTTTCTCAGTTAATGATAGAATAATTAATTTATAATTCTATAGTTTTAAATTTTAGAATAGATAAAAGTCACTTCATTTATTATAATATATTATTTGTTTGTACAGTACTGTTATATAAATACAAACATTTGATAAATACCTGTATTTTACCATTTAATTTTTTTATTACAATATTTATTTTAAGTTATTTATTAATAATGAATAACTGTAATTTTTAATAGGTTTAATTTTATTATTTCTTGAATTATATTTATATTTTGGTTCTGGAACTACATTATGTGAATTTTGTGCAAAATTAATTTGCTTGAAAAGAACTAAATAAGGCATAGAGGAAGATATTATTATTTAACATCTCACATTCCAAAAACGTAATATCTTCCAAAATTTATTCTATGCATCATTAATATAACTTTTTTAAAAATATTAACTGCTGGACTTAAATGTATATTTTTTAATATATTCTATAGTTTGTAATAAATGTATAAATTCAATTTTGTTATTATTTTAATAACTATATATTTTACTTTATTTCATCAATTATGAGAAAGAAAAGTGCAGTGAAACGCACGGAAACAGATACTAACTACTCTCTATAAAAGAACAGTAGTTTCTTCTCTAATTCCATCATTTCTTTCACAAACACTCTATCTTTTACAAATTCTTTCATTCTTGCTTTGGAATTTCAGTTTTCATTGAAAGTTCTCTGAGCTGACAAAGAGAGGTTAGTCCAATTAGGTGATCTTGGCATTCTTTATTCTTTCTTTCTTTCGTCTTTAATTCTTGTTTCTCATGCTTCACCCATTCTTGCTTCACTTATAGATTTAAGAAAAAATGCCGGTGCCTCCGTGGCTTTCATGTATAGTTACTTCTTGCATAAAGCCTTTTAAGCCTCATGCCATCGTGAGCAGTGATGATGATGATGATGATGAGCTTCTATGGTGTAAAGATATTCGGAGACATTCTCGTGGTGAATTTTCCTTTGCTGCATGTCAGGCCAATCAGGAAATTGAAGATCATAGCCAAGTTGAGATTGGCTCTAATGCGTTATTTGTTGGGGTTTATGATGGTCACGGTGGTGATGATTGTTCCCGTTTTATTAAAGCTCGTCTCTTCAACAATTTAATGAGTGAGTCTTGTTGCTTTTGTTCTTGAAATTTTTTTGGATGCTGTGTGTTGTTATTTACTATTTTACACGTTGTTATTTGAAGTGTTTCTTGGCTTATATTGGGAGGGTTTTGGTTTCATTGTTCTTGATTTTCATGGAGTGTTTTTGCTGTTGCATGAAGTTCAATTTACCTTCTGATGCTTTCTTTTTTTTACTTCTTGAAATCTAAAGAACCACTGGTGATAGTATATGCACTGATTATGCTATACTTGTGTATATTTATAATTGTGTATGGGATATGGAAACAGGGTGCACTTAAGATAATAAAAGTAATTGGTAAACTGGTGTTTATACAGAGACATGTAAATTATAAATTTTGTGTGGTGTTGATACTTCATTGGTTTAAGCAATTATGGAAGTTTTATGTGGAACCTGATTACAGACGTTGCTAGGAATCAGGGAACTATAGACGAAGAAACTTTGAGGGAAGCTTTTGCTATGACAGAGGATGGTTTTATGTTACTTGTTCAGAGGGGTTATGAGTTACAGAACAATTTGGCAACTGTAGGTTCCTGTTGTCTGGTTGGTGTTATCTGGGAAGGAGTCCTATATATCTCCAATCTTGGAGACTCTCGTGCCATTGTTGGAACTTTAAGTACATGTAGAAGCATCACTACTCAACAGTTGACAACAGAACATAATTGCATCAGGGAGGAAATTAGACAAGAACTTAGGGCTAAGCATCCCAATGATCCAGATATTGTAGTCTTAGAACGTGGAGCATGGCGTGTTAAAGGCATCATCCAGGTTTTCTTTTGCTTTTACCTTCACAACGGGTTTTCAGTACATATTGATTTGTGAATTGCAAAACTAAATGTTGTATTGTATCAAATGCAGCAGATTCTGTTACAATCACTATATTTTGTTTCATATGTTTTTGTTCATGTGACGTTTGAAACTGCTATCAGGTATCCAGAACCATAGGAGATGCGTATCTGAAGAATCCAACTTATATGAAGCCACCTCTCACTGTACCTGTGCTGTCTGCAGAACCAACTCTAAATACACGAGTTTTGACATCCGATGACAAATTTCTTATATTTGCATCGGATGGACTTTGGGAACACTTGACAAATCAGCAAGCAGCTGAGATTGTTCACTTGAATCCTCGAAGAGTATGTTTTATTTTTACTTGTCCTTCATTTGAATCAACATGTATAAATGAAAATGGTCTAACTTGATTCTTATGCTCCAGGGGATTGCAAGAAGACTTATTAAGGCTGCTGTACAGTCGGCAGCTAAAAGAGCGAATATGGAATATAGAGCGCTTCGGAACTTGCAGAGAGGGAGCAGACGGGTTTATCATGATGACATTACTGTGGTTGTTGTCTTCCTCGACGGTCCCTCACGTTTCACTGTGCAACAGTTGTCCCTAAGAGCGTTCGAAGACGAAGCTGGAGTATCAGAATTTCAAAGTCTACACGGTTTGACGTGATACAAGGATTATTCTTTCTACAACCGTAACAAATAAAGTTGATTCTGGTTCAAAACAAAAACAAGAATCAATAACAATACACTTAGACACAGTTTTGCAGCATACTGTTGTTGTCATATCAAGGTTCTTCTACTCTTAGCCTCACTTTAAAAGTGTACTTTCTGTTTCTGAAACTCATTTGCTGGTCATAACTAAAGCTGAAATTGAATTTAGAAGGCGTTTTCTGTTTGGAGCTGCATAACTCTAATTACTAAAAGTTGTGTGGATAAGAGATTTTAGAGTCCCTTTTTTCTTATCGAAATAAACATTAGGAACACTGTTATTTGCAGTTTGGGAATCAAGCATGCTCCACTCCCTAGGTTTCATTACATTTAAACGGGATAATTAAAAAAAGCAAGTGATGGTTAATTATGAAAGTAATAATGCACTACTGTTTCATTTATTGAATTTTTTTCTTTTTAATTCTTTTTGCTAAAAGAATTTCTTGCAATATCAACCTAAAGAAAAAGAGATCTTTTGGCTTAAATCAATTCTGTACTTTTTAATTTGGTCTCCTTTTAGTTTTTAAACGATCCCTTTGGCGAATGATCTCTATTCATTTTTCATTTCTCACTTGATTTATTAAACACTACGGACTTTTCTAATAAGAGTTCTACTTTTATTCTATATAATGTGAGTTTTCTCTTCATTTTGAACTATTCAGAGGGCTTGAATTGAAAAAATACAAACAAAACGAATAATTTAATGAAGAAATATATTTTATGAATAGCTTCTTTGAAAACATGAAAAAAGAAGAATCAAATGAGAAAATTACATTTTATGGATTAAAATGTTGATTAAATCCTGTCATAATGGAATTATGGCCATGTAAAGTAGAAGTGTAGAAAATATTTTTTCTTGTAATAGTCATGGATAGAAAGAAAGGGGATTATTCTTTGGTTCCGATAGAAAGAAATTTCAAAAAATCACAGGAATGCATGCAATAACCACTCAGTTTTCAAATTTCAAGCACACTAAAGCTGGCTAAAGTAATAAAGTTAAAAAATTTACAAACTTTTAAGTTAAAGTGAAAATAAAGTACGAAAAACAGAGTGTGGAATGAAGAAAAAAGTAAAACTTGATACCCATTTTGAAATACTCAAAAGACACTAACGTAAATATTCATCTCTACGTACATAACTATCCGGAAAAGATACATTATATTATATTTTAAAAATAAAACAATTTTCTCAACAGTTTTATAATGTAAAGGACATGTTCTCCATAAGAAGCTACCCGATCTAAAGTGCACACCATCAGTAGAAGCTTACACGTCCTCCTTTGAGAGTGCATTCACTGGATATTTCGTTAATATTCAGAACTAAAATAAAAACAAGAACGACAAAATGGATTCAACTTATTTGTTTTTTTCTGTTTAACGTACTAAAGGAGATAATTTGAATTAGGGTTTCCAAATTTTTCTCAAATGAAGTTCAACTGGGACACACTATTGTGATAAAGCAGAAACGACTGCACTTCATTTTGATTGAAAAAAATGAAGTCCAGTCGTTTCTTACGCTAAATAGTACACCAGCATAATTCTAACAAACTGATATGGATCCATAGGGAACAAGTAAAACCAAGCTGGCAAATTGACAGATGAAGCGTGAGATAAACATAAAATGTCTTGATAAAAGATGGCAGACTGAGATCAACAACGACATTTTGGTTGCAGAGAATTATAAATCAAGCAAGTGCCATACCACTGCTTTAATCAGAATACTTCATAAAAAGAATTTGTCGATTCAACCAAACCAAATCGGTAACAATGCACATCTCTTCTACTACAACAAAACGGGGAAAAATTTGAATCTTACATATCTTGCCAGCCTTCATGCTCTTATCTCAACATATCAAAGAAAGGAAAACACAAAAACATGATAAAAGGAATGGTAAAGAGTAGGAAATGCAAGTCCTCAACCACTTGATGGTATTTTTGTAGTATTCGTATAAATAGTAATTTCCCTGGTCCAGCTTTCATACTCCATGATTATAACTTAGAAGCATTTCCTGTGTACGATTGATGGTCCAGATTCATCATACTCAGCCTTCGCAATCCACATCTGCACATGGGAGAGAAAACATAAAAAAGGAGTAGACTAAATTTGCTTGTTTCAATGGTTTGAGTTGGCTTCAGAAGGTACTTACTCTGTTTCCAAACAAAACAAGCACAACGAAAAAGAATGTACTTTAAACTAATCTTATCCCCTTGATCTAGCTAAGTATCATGTTTGATATTTCCTCCCATTTTCTGATAATACTTATCTTATTAAACTTCCTACTTATAATTCAAATACAATTTCCCAAGTTATTTGCTGTATTGACATTCCAAATTCAACAACTTCACCCGTGCAATTATGGTCATGCATGCAATTTACCTGTTGGAAGGTGCTGAGGGAAGCCAAGATGGAGCCTCCAATCCAGACACTGTATTTCCTCTCTGGTGGTGCGACAACCTTAATTTTCATGCTACTTGGTGCCAATGCTGTAATCTCCTTGCTCATCCTATCAGCAATGCCTGGGAACATTGTGGAACCACCACTCAAGACAATGTTACCATATAGATCCTTCCTAATGTCGACATCACACTTCATGATAGAGTTATATGTTGTCTCGTGGATGCCAGGAGATTCCATCCCAATCATGGATGGCTGGAACAGAACTTCAGGGCACCGGAATCGCTCAGCACCAATAGTGATCACCTGCCCATCAGGAAGCTCATAGCTCTTTTCAACGGCTGAGCTAGTCTTGGCAGTTTCCAATTCCTGCTCGTAATCAAGAGCAATATAGGCCAGTTTCTCCTTCATGTCCCTCACAATTTCCCGCTCTGCAGATGTGGTGAAAGAGTAACCACGCTCAGTCAGGATTTTCATAAGGGCATCAGTGAGATCACGCCCTGCAAGGTCCAAACGCAAGATTGCATGCGGAAGGGCATAGCCTTCGTAAATAGGAACCGTGTGACTGACACCATCTCCGGAGTCCAGAACAATACCTACACAAACATCATAGAAAAACCGCATTAACTCACTTCATTCAATACCAAGTCTTGTCATTAAGTGGCTGCTAGACTTCCAAATCTCATTAAACATTCATGATACAACAATCGAAACTCTTTTAGGCTTCAAGGGTTAACTCGTATTGATTTTTATTTTAGTAGAACAACAAGGAATCCTTGCAACTTCGGTTTAGTTTAATGATAGTGTGATTCATGTAACTGATCTCTTTTCTTAGCGGCGTAATAAAAAAGTAGGGATCAATTTGGTACCATGTCATGATCCGAAAAATCCAAAGCTTAAACTAACATGCAAAGACCCACGGACCCAGTTCAGATAGGTTTGGAGCACATGCAAGCCATTTCAATTGAGAGAAACACATGATCGGTGACTTACAAGACACCAAGTTAGATGACAAAGACAGATCAACAGTTTCACATCATATCTACAAAGCTTACAACCAGGACATGCATGTTATACCAAATAAACAAGAATCAAGAAAGGTGGATGAAGATCGGTTACCAGTTGTACGGCCACTAGCATAAAGGGAAAGCACAGCTTGGATGGCGACATACATAGCAGGAGTGTTGAAGGTCTCAAACATGATCTGAGTCATTTTCTCACGATTAGCCTTAGGATTAAGCGGTGCCTCGGTAAGAAGCACAGGGTGTTCTTCAGGAGCCACACGAAGCTCATTGTAGAAAGTGTGATGCCAGATCTTCTCCATGTCGTCCCAATTACTCACAATCCCATGCTCAATAGGGTATTTCAGAGTCAAAATACCCCTCTTCGATTGAGCCTCGTCCCCAACATACGCATCCTTCTGTCCCATCCCAACCATCACCCCAGTGTGACGTGGACGCCCCACAATGCTAGGGAACACCGCCCTCGGAGCATCATCTCCGGCAAAACCAGCCTATCAGACAAATTTCAACAACATTCACGTGGTTAATAAAGAAAATTGAATTTTCTAACAGATCCTCAACAGCATTCCGTTGATCTAAGCGAAACTGAGTTCCGATCTCGATTTCAAGTTTAGTTATGAAGAAAATGATCGAATAAGACCACACCAAAGATGATCGGTTAGGTTTCCATTTCAATAAACCATCTATAAAAACCGGTATAAGTTAAAGTAGCAAAAAACAAACTATGATCTCATTTACCATACCTTGACCATTCCGGTTCCATTATCGCAAACGAGAGGTTGAATATCCTCGGCATCGGCCATTGTCGTTTAAGGTGAGGATGCTTGTTGCTGCAAAAACACACAAAAATTGCGTTAATCGGCGGATGGTTGTTCTTATCGGGTGAACGCAAGAGCAAGAGAGAACGTGGCGGTACCTGCGAAAAGAAGGAATGTGTGTGCGACAACGTGTGTGTATGAGAGTGTGTCGTGTTTTTTCGAAGTTTGTGAAATTTGTGTATGTGTGTGGCTGAGGTACCCGCCCTGTGGTTTAAAAAAGGAAGGTGTGGTCAAATGAAATTCGCCTCAAATGAAGAGCAAATTGCACGTCCTCGGATCCTGACCGTCCGTTTCGAATATCGCATCCACGGGCCACATTTGCTGTTGGAAATAGCTGGCACTCTTACGCTTTTTCTTACTTTCCAGTTACACCCCTTTCGCTTCTCCAATAACCTCATCTCTCTATTATTCATTTTCATTATTTCACTTTTGTTGTTTTCATTATTCATTCCCATTTTTCTTTTCTCCTATGTCTCTTCTTATTTCAAATTCAGTGATATCCTTTTTAGTTTATTCAACTTTTGTGGTATTAAACCATGTAAATAAAAAAAAAATACATATAAATAATCTGTAAATGGATTCAGTATTATTTTAAGAAAAATTATTAGCTTAAATTCCCAATTATAGAGAAAAAATAACATAAAAAATACTCTTGTTTACCTAATACCTCTACTAAATGAACATTTAATAAGAGAATAAATCAATATTACTTTTGAGAAACACTCATCTATCCCATCACTGAGTAATTTAATTAGTCTAATACTCTTTTGTAATAATTATATGAAAATTCAGATATACCTCAGTACTTTTTAATTGAATAATGACACTTTAAACCTGCTTTAAAATCTGAATTCATTAACATTAAACACGTAAAAATATTAAACTCGTTACATTTTACGAATTCAATGAATGTAAATTAGTTTTAATTATTAATTAATTACGAATTTTAATACATGATAAAATTATTAAATTTTATTGTAACTGTTAATATGGGTGACCCATACACATACTTTAATAATGATTAAAAGTAAGTTACATTTAAAGAACATTAATTTTTTTTGTATTATTTTTTTTTTCATTTTTAGTCCTCTTTTTCCTTATTTCTAATTTAAATTAATTTTCTCTTTAAGAATTAAAATTATTTAAAATTTAAATTTTACAAAAATAGATTAAATTTTTATGTAGATATTTTGTATTAAAAAATTGTTCTAATTTGTAAATCGTAAGAAACGTTATATATGGTTACCTTATTATCGATTAAAAGTGATATACTAAATTTCATTTTTTTATTAAAGACAAAATTAATATCTTTTTTATACGTTGAATATTATATATTAAGTGATAAAAATTATAATGTACATGCTAAAAATTACATATAACAAATCCTAGTTTATTTTTAAACAATGTCAATTTAATTTTAACATATAACAAATTAAAACAAATGTTTACATTATTATTTAATTATTAAAAAATAATAAATATATTTTTTTTGGAAATATTACATAAGAGCGTATGTTATATTAAAAAGTATTAGTTTAAGAAATAAAAGTTTATCAAATTAAATTTTACATTTTTTTATTTTTAAATAGTCAATTAAACAGAAATGATAATAAAAAAATGTTAATTAATAGATTATAGGCTTAATACTTCTTTGATCTCTATTTTCATCAACTTTATTCAATATAGAATTTAGTTTTTGGATATTCATATCAAATTTCGTAATTTATGTTCAATTTAGTCAATTTTTCATTATGTCGCATAAATTGTTAATGACATATTGTATGCATGAATAGTGTTTGAATAGTTAGATTATTACTTACGTTATCATGCACAGTGGTCGTGTGACCCTTCTACCATCATGAATGTAACCATTATTAGAGTCATCACCGAAACAACTTCGATCCTTAACCATATATGCAATCACCATTATTTATGTACACATATAAAATTATATATTTTATTAAATAGTCTAATATATTATAATTTTATTATATTTAAATCAATATTTTTATATCATACTTATTATTATGTTATTAAATAAAATATAGGGTTAAATATGTTTTTAGTCCCTAAACTATTGGCCGTTTCTGGTTTTCGTCCCTCTTTCAAAGTACAATTTGGTCCTCATTATTTTCGAAACGTTCGTTTTAGTCCTTGGAATTTTGGTTTTAGTCCTCATTTGTTGCTAAATGAGGACCAAATTTTTAAACAGTGTTTAGTTTTCGAGGACTAAAACGAACGTTTCGAAAAGAATGAGGACCAAATTGTACCTTACTTTGAAACAGGGACGAAAATCAGAAACGGCCAATAGTTTATGAACTAAAAACATATTTAACCGTAAAATATATAATATATAGTTTAATAGTTATTGACTATAATTTATTTATTAATTTTATCAATTTCTCCGAAAACAAAACTTAACATTTGATAAAGCAGTATAGGTAATATAGTGTAATAAAGTTCTAAACCTGATTGAAGAAACATGAAGTATAACCTGATTATTGCATTAATTATTTTATAATATTCACACTAACGTTTTTTTTATAATTAATATATATATATATAAGGAAAATAAATAATTGATAGAATTTAAGTATAAATTTAAGTCATACATTAAAAAAAGCAACATATATATTATAAAAAAAATCATAAACTTATCATTCCTTATTTTAATCTTTCAAATTGAGATGTCTTATTTAGTTTTGATTCAGATCTAGATAAATTTTTTACATTACAAAATTAAAAGACTATCTTATATATTTTAACAATATGTTTAGCCAAAAAAAATTAAATATGTTTTGCCAGTCAATAATTTCAACGTCTTATATTGTTGTGTAAGTTTTCTATACAAGCAAGGAACATACTTAATTGAAACCCCGTACAAAGTTTATGTTATTCTGATTAAAATGTTTGTATATAATTGCTTAACAAATTAAAAACACTTAAATTTGTAAAAAATTAAGAATTAATTGTATTTTTTCTTGTATTCAAAATGAATATTTTTTCCTAAAAAGAATGTCAAGACTTTTGTAGATATTTTGACATAATAGGCTTTTTCAATTAAGACTTTTTGGTCTTATAATTTTTCTGACTCAGCTCATATAGACTATGATCAACCATGTGTGAGAGAGACCAAATTGACAAATTTACACTCTTTTGTGTAAATCTATCCAAATTTTTGAACTCTTGAATCTTAGAAATTTTCTCTCATTTGCCATATTAAAAAATCTCTTATTATTTCCATATTTGTTTTTGTACTTTGTGGATTTTGATGTCCTAAGATTTATTCTAACTTTTTTTTTGAAAAATATATTTTATACTAAATTTTCGATTATAATATTGCTAGATAACACAAATGAAATATAAATTTAATTCACAATATTAACATTATTTTTAACCTAAAACTTCAAAATAATAAATTATTAACTTTTATTTTTATATAATGTTTTATTCAATGTCTTAAATTCATATTTTAATTTTTTGAATATATGATTAATTTTTTTTTATAGAAAGTTATATGAAATGTGATTTGTGATTGTATTATCTTTGATAATACACATTATATAACTTTTTACAAAAGTCAGTTTTATTTATTATTATGGGTCAAACAAATGTGATTTTATACAACTAAAACCATGAAACAAAGGTCCATTGTTTTTGAGTATTAAATTTGTTTGTTGAGCCGACATGTATGTTCCTTGTTGTACATTTTGAAAGCAGTTAAAACCGATGGTATATTCTTGAAATCCCATGGAAGTAGCCTTTTGGAAGGGATCCGAAGCCCAAACGTGTGGCATTTATTTGAGGATCCATAATCCATCCTTGTTGAGAACTTGACGATGATGATGATGAATGTGAGAAAGAAGCAACATGCATCATGCTCTATGCTCTTTAGTGCCAACTGCATAATGCCACCATCATACAGTGTGAGCTGGATATTATTATGATATGATGAAAAGAGGGGCAATTTGGGAAAAAGGAAAAGACCCCACCAGAAAAGTAAAGTAAACCAGGGCGTGTTGCTAGAAGAAGCAGCTTTTCTTGTTCTGGTGTGTGTGTAATTTTCACTCTTAACTTTTTAGACGTTGATGATCAAGTGTGGTGTGTTGTGGGAGTAATCATGCATGGGACGGTGCCAAAAGCGACATGCCACAACGTTGCCAACTCAGCATTCAGTTTGCAACTGTTCATAGATCGTGTCGGGGTCTTTTTTAACCTGCGCTCTACTCTACCTATACTCTCTGCTCCCTCCTCCTTTTCTTCACTGCTATTGCATCCTTCGTTGACTGCTTCAGATTCACTTTCCCATCTCACGGTTGAGGCTTCTTCTCGTTGCTGTTCTTGAAGACGTGCAGCGGATAACTACCAACCAAACATAGAACGTGGTTTCCCGCTTCGGACAATCCCCTTCCCCCGTTGACCGCTCTTTTAGGTTGTCTAATGCTTTTCTTGATTTGATAGGAAATTTAATCGAATTAGATTAAATATTTTTGTTTCTTTTTGAAAAAATTGTAATGAAAATTGTTTTTGTTTTAGTTGTGTACGATGAAAAAAGTAAAAAAAAAAAAAGTTAAACTGTTTTTTTATTCGGTTGAGCTTTCGTTACATTGGTTGGTGAAAGTGAAAGAAACAAAATGGAAATATATGTAATTATATCAGCTACATTTTATATCATTGATTAAGAATTTTGGTTTAGTTTGTTGTATATATGAAAATAATTTTGTTAGTCTTTCCTTTTTATATGTTTATTATTTCCTTTTTTATATGTTTATTATTATTAAAGTATATATGTTTTTTGGCAGTGACAAAAAATGTTTTTACTCGTTTTTAATCAATTTTTCCAGGAACAATACTAGTGTAATACAGTAAAAAAACAGACAATTGCTGAAATAACATTATTAGTGAAAAAATGTAATGATATATATATATATATATATATATATATATATA